GAGGTTTAAGGGGGTCTGAATACTTTCCGTACCCACTGTAGCTGTTTGGAGTATTACTGATTGAAAAATCCAGTAGGTCTTCAACACATTCATGCTTATTATTACTAATTTTACTAATTTTAAATTTACCCACTGAAACCTCTTTATAAAAACAGGAGATTCAAAAATTCAAACAATATATATATATTTAGATGCATATTTAGATATTTAGATGTTTAGATGTTTAGATGCAAATAAACAAAATCGCACATGGAGAAAACCATACAACGACAAATCATTTTCAATTCACACAAATCTAGAAGCTTTTGTAAGCAATCGATCCAAAAGTAAAGTAAAGGAGCAATGTGCAATTCAACCAAAGGTATAACATGTATAGCAGAAACCACTACATTTACTCTCAGCAAAACTCTGACCAACACTTAAAAAACAACAGCATGGCGGAATATTTTATGACATTGCCAGGGGGTGGCTAACAGGTACTTGCCTATAGAAGCGAGACAAATATCATCCAGTGTGAAATATTTATAGCTGTTACCAATTTCTAAACACCCAGTTTAGGATACAATTGAACCTCTTTCTGTGAGTATTAAAGGAACTAATACAAGAGAATAATACAAGGATTAAGACTTCTTCTTTCAGAACTTTAAGCTTTCGACTATGAAAAGCTATACATTTAAGCTATAAATATATGTGCACTGTATGTATAAGCTGTGCAGTAGGTTACCTTTATGTGAGGTTGTTGTTACTTTTGCCTTCTTTGTTACTGCTGGCTCTAGTGAGAAAAAGATGTTCAAGATTCATGGTGCGGTACTTGTCTTAAAGAATCAAAATAAAAGGAAATGAAAAACAAGTTCTTGACAATGATATTTATTCTCTGATTATTTTTAATGAAGCATATCTGTATCAATTTATTTCACAGGTAAACACAGGAGAATTTATGATGGAATAAATAAATAAATGGATAAATGCATGAAATATAATATTACATTATGTGTATATAATATATTATAAATAATATGCCACAATAAAATGTACCTATCTTAGTAGAGGTAGGTTTTGCCTTTTCTTTAGTGATCACTCGCTCTGTAAAAAAGGAAATAATAAGCTACTGCTCATATATAACTACTGCAAAGTCTTCCTGAACCATAATTACCTGTCCTTTTAGACCTCTCTTTCACAGCAATCAGCCCTAAATCATAAAAAAAAGATTTATTTAGTAAGAAAATAAATTTACAATTTTAATTTAGCCATAATTTTTCTATTATCCTTACCTTTCTTTGCCACTGCAGGTTTTACTTTGGCTTTAGCAACTGTGGGCTCTTGAACATACACAAAATGAAATATAAATGCATCTTCTCCAACATGATTAGTGGTACTATAAACTCACATACTGCCTTTTCATTTTAAATCGGATCTCACCCTTCTTCGCAGGAGCTGCTTTGGCTTTTTCTTTTGGCGCAGCTGGTTCTGAAATTGGAGGTCAAAGGTTATTACTTGCTTCAGGTCTGTTAACATAACTAGAAAAATATAATACATTCTTACTACTGGCACGAACTCGAGACTAATTACTACTATACCTTTCTTTTTAGTGGCTTGTTTTGGCTTTGCCTTAGCAGCGTCTGGTTCTTAAGCAAAGGAAACATTACATCAGATTTTTTTTTTAAATAGTAAATGATTATCATTTAGAATTAAATCTCAAATATATTTTGCAGTAAACACCTTTCAGTAAAGTTGGAGCTTGATGAGTTGTTAAAATCGGAACTTCTGATTCTGAAAAAAACAGTGGTGTTAAAAACTCTTGTGATGTATTAATTCTTAATATTGTTGGCATTGATAGCCACATGATTTAATTAGTAATAATAACAGATGTCAGTCATCTGTATAAATGCATTAAAATAGTTTTGAATACCTGGAATAGCCGATGGTGGTAATGGGCTACTTGTAACTATATGATGCACTGTAAGATAAAAGATTAAGTACATTTCAGGGCATTAAAGAACATTTGAAGCATGTTTAAAGGCATTTTATGTAAAGCACATTGAGTTACAGTAATTGTAGGGGACTGCATTACTCACCATACCAGCCAGGTGGCGCTGGGCAGTACACAGGTGTTGGTCGGCACATAGGAACTGTTTCACCAGGTTGTGAAAAGAAAGATTCAGAGTTACAACAGACTGACTGTAGATTGCGTGCTATTGCTGCTGTCTTTTTGCATTATGTGAATGTAGCGCAATGTAATATTAAAAAGTCACAAGGCTATGAGTTGCACTCACGATCCTGTATCGGAGCTGGAGCAGCTGACACTTCCATGTCCTCTGAGGCTCGAGATCCTGTTATTAGGAGAAGGGAAAGCACCGCTGTCATATAGTTAGATCAAATGGAATTTCAAATTTGCCATCAACGGTTGAGCCAAAAATGTAAAATCTGTCATCATTCACTCATTGATCAAATCCTGTATGATTTCTTTCTTCTGTAGAACACAAAAGAAGATGTTAAGCAGGATGTTCATGCTGTTCTTTTTCATATAGGCCTATAATGAAAATAAATTGTATCCAGGGCCTTTCAGGCTCCAGAAATGACATGAAAGCATTATAACAGCACATGATTTGTGCCCAGTATCTGAAATCATATCGTCATAAGTTGTTTGGCACTCAAAATCTTCCTCTCCACGGTAGGTTGAATTTGTGTGATTTGAATATGTGCATATTTAATTTTGCAGATTTGGAATCTTGGATTTGGACTTGGATTTTTGGATTTGGTATATCGCTCACAATTTATATGGACCACTTTTTATGGTGCTTTTTGTTTGTTTTTGTCATTTTTAGAGCTTGATAGTCTCTCGTTGCCATTCATGTACATTATGTGGAAAAGAGTGTGTGAACATTCAGCAAAGTATCTTCTTTGAAGAAAGAAAGTCACATGAGTTTGTAGCGACATGAGGGTGAATATGATGGCAGAACTTTTATTTATGGATGAACTATCCCTTTAAAGAAGTAAAGTATGATCAGATCATGTGGATTTACTTCTCGTTTTGGGTATGTTGACAACCGCTGCCTTTGCTTTTGGAGCTGTGAAGCAGAGAGCAAATTTGATTCTGCAATATTCATCGCTATGATTATAAAAATCATTTGAAACAAGTATGGGTATGATGATATAAAAAGGCAGGCACACATTGTGCTTGTTCTTTTTTACCTTTCTTTGCTTTCTCTAGTCTTGTTCTTATTGGAGCCTCTTTTTCTGATGAGCAAATGTTAGTGAGGAGGCGAAAAAAAGGACTTCAGTACAATATTCTTCCACAAACAAATGCCTATCTATATTTAATATTCTGATCTGAGAAAAAAAACAATAACTCTGCACCTTTTCTCTGTTTAAGCAGGGGTTCCCTTCTCTTAGTCTCTGCTTCTGGAGAATGAAAACATATTAAACAATATAAAATTAGCTTTCAGATCAAAACATGTATGATTAACTTCAGATTTGCTCAGCTGAAAATTAATTTTCAAACTTTACAGTGTTTGCTGGCATAATGAGAACATTGTGTCAAATGCACCATAAAGGACGTTTAATTGGAAACTTATATTTTTAATTTTTATTAACTGTGGAAATAAACAAATTTAATTTGAATTTAGGAATAAATTAATTTCCTAAAGTGAAAAATTGGCATGAAATGTCCCATAATGCTGTTGGCTCACAATGCT